TTCTAAGCATACAGCACAGTAATAATAATATTCATTAATCATCATCCATTAGGTTTCGTATTACGTGTCCAATATAGGATAGCGTGCTTATTGAATTCATGAATTCGCGAACAGCGTATCATTAGAAGAAAGGTATCCCCTTGTGTGTATATCTATGTGTGTATGATCTTCCATGATAATATTATTCGAATGAAAAGAAAATTAAATATTAACATTTATTAGAAAAAGTGAAAGCGATAATTTCAATTGACAGATTTTTAAATAACGAATACATTTAATAAAATAAATTATAAATAATATTATTTGTAATAATATTTCGCTAAAGATATTTCAGACTTGCCGAAATATATTTTATTAATCCTTTGATCAACTTAAAGTACCTGTTTTCTTTGTAAAGTTATGAGAGACTTTGTAAAATTATGTAAACTTTTTACCCTTGTACATAAAAATAAAATAAGTTGCTCGCAAAAATTTCCCGTTTTATTTATGAAATACGTTTTCAACCCTGAGTATGACGTAAAAAAGTTCACATTTTTTACATCGTGATGCAATACAGCTGCAATAAGAAAACCGAAGTTAAAGTCCTGAATTAGCGATTGCACGTAATGAATAGTAAATATCATTGTATAGTGATGCTATGCGGAATTGACAATATTATGATGAACTGATGTTAGACGGAACCAAAGACATTATCAAATAAGTATATATTTCACATTTAAGAAGAACAAAGACACCGGGAACAATTAATCGCAAAGGTACATGCAACGCTCTCAATTAGCAATTATATGCGAAATATTACGTGAATCACGACGTGTGATTTGTGCAATAATTTATATAGAAAATAAATAAAGATGATCTTATCTTATTCAATTAATTTGCAGAATTTTATACTTCAATAAAAATGTGATAAAATATATTTTAATAATAAATGACAGCTTTTATTAATTAAAAATAGAAGTTATCCGTATGAAAAAGTCAATATAATCAGAAAACGGCTAAAATAATTGGAAATACCCTTTTCCAACAGTTATAATTTAAACGTGCATTATACATACGTTGCATGTTGCACGTAATTACTACTATACTACTATACTAATCATATCATCGTGAAAACGATATTAGTTTAATAATGTTCCCTACAGTTATATCAGATTGTTTATGAACTCGCACGTGTTTACGGGCGCACGCTTGAGAATCTCGCATGCGTGCACAATCGACGAGCCGCTTCGCGTCCGTGGACGCTCGCTATGATGCATCTCGGAGCGTTCTCGTAACAGCGTAGCCAATCGCATACCGAGGCAACGTATAAGGAACCCGGCATCGAAAAAGGGATCAGGAGGTAACCGCTTCGCGCGTGATACGTCAATTTATCTGCCGGCAGCTAAAATCGCGTTGCGCGATACATAATATTTATTCTCCGTGACGAGTATCTGCAACACGCAACCACAGACAGAACATCTTTGTCCCTCCTTTCCCTCCCAATCTCACCGCTTTACAGATTGGGCAAATTTTATACTCTGCGCCAATCTGGAGAACCGTGCATCTTGTAGCGCTACGGCTGATTTCACAGAGAGTTGCACCACTTCAAGTGTAACATTGACAAGAACGGCGATACGACTCTAACAAATGAAGCTCTGAGAATGAGATAGGTCATTGTAGACCCTGAACCAGGCTCTCACAAAAGGACCGACTGAATCAATACACTTTGCCAAGAAGTGTTTCTTAGCTATCTTTATAAGAACCGTTCGAGTGCTTACCCAACATGTAATGTTGAAACGACATTGAATAATACTAATGATACGGATTGAATGATATTGAATAATGTTGCTGATGTTATTTTGCGCGCAATAGCGAATATTGAAATGCAAAATGTAAAATATCGACAAGATAATTCGATTATCAAAGAGTAAGATAATCTGGGCCAAACACACGGCTCGTTTTTCCATGTTATTCTCATTACATTTGCAACAAACTCGTTGTAATTTTTTAATGAAACGTCTGATTATTTACATCACAGTCATATTTCTTGAAGCATCCAAGTACCTGAACCACGATACGTCTCCATTTGTCTTCTCTGAAAGCTCAAACAAATTAACGAAGCTTACGTTATACTCAAGTATCTTACATAATATTCTTTTCTTTGGACTAATCTTTTTTCGCATTCTTTAATGTTTTTTTTATAATTTAGATTTACATTTTTCCTAGAGTTTTAACCCTTTCATTACCAAATCATTTTACGGCTACAAAAAATTACTTATTCGTATTTTTATGCGTATTGTATGACAAATAAACAATTCATAAAAACATTTATATATATGCTTAGATAACTTTTTTACATATTTTTATTGCAACATGTATATAATAACACTGTGGACAAAATTTGACTTTTTTTGCCACATGAGTGTAAATGTTTAAATGATTACGTCAAAAAATGATGTCAAAGGGCCAAAAACGTGATCTCCTTTGATACTATTTTCTCAAAATTTTGACGTAATAATCTTTTGTCAACGGATTCGTGTTCAGTAACAAAAATATGTCGAAAATGACTATTCATATTCGTGTGGCAAAAAAGCAAATTTTGTTCCACAATGTAATTTGCAAAGTTATTATACATAGAAATCTATATTATGTATAAAAATCTTTTTCTTTGAGTTTGATAAATTGATTAGAATGTTTCAAGGAAGATTATAATTTTGTAAATCTTTATTGTATTTATAATAACTTTTATCATCAATAATAAATGAAATAAGATGATACTCTATATGTTAAATTGAAAAGTTTTTTAATTCATATTAAAATATGTACTATCAATACAAACGTAAAGTCCTCACAGTCACATAACAAATTCATCTATTTACAAATATGAAAAAATTGATCACAATGATATTTTATTCCATAATTAATAACACGCAATATAACTGTAGTGGAAACGAAAGGGTTAATCATTGCATGTCAAATGACTAACCGATTAAATAATCAGCACGAATATTAATTTTAAAATATCTCTTCAGGCAGTTATTAATCGCTTTATTGGTTTCACTAAACTGTTACGAAATCATGGAGAATCTTCATGTTGCGTGCCATCGATCTATTAGAAAATACATAATCAGGGATATCGTAAAATTAATCGCGAAAATTGCCGTATTAAGACGTCATTTGCACTCGCGGCTCGGGTGACGTCGGACTACCCGTAAATTTGTTAAAGGTTTACATAAGTCGTCACCACCGAGATTTATGCGAACCGCTTCCATATCTTCTGCGAATCGGGTAAGCGCTTCTCGCGATCTAAACGGCGGGGACGCGCGGCGGTACACCGAATAGATTGGATTTATATCCCACTCATCCTCACGTCGCACGTCTCTCTACCAACACTCGGTCCGATTACCGGCAGGCGTATTTCTTCACATCCACCTTTCATTCGTAACTACAAACTCGGTAATTGGTTCGATACACTTCGGGTCCGAGGATGAGATCAGCGTTACCCCGCGCAAGGCGTCTTTCTTTTTTCATCCGATCAGACGGTTCGAAAGTGCGGCGTCGTATTTCGAAGGCCGTCTTCGAGATCGAATCGACCGGTAGACCTAGCGCTTCCCGCGGGGAAAACGTGCCGAGGATCGCAGGGAGCTCGTCGGCAGATGCACCAGCGAATTTTCCTAGAGCTACCTCTGCGGCATGTGCAATCGCATTCTTGCTCGCGCGTGCAACGCATCGGACGCGTTCTCGCCGCCACGTGCCTGGAATTCTTTTTATTACACGGAGATGTCGAAAATATATATCCGCGCCGACGGAGGCCGATTGCTTAATCAGCTGACGATTCGCGATAGTTTGGAGAAGCTCACGCTCATCTTAGCATGGAAATATTTTCTTTTTTTTTTGACCTATCACCTTCTGACAAATCGATTTAATTATCCTTTCGTTTTAATTTTATTTCTATGATATATTCGAAAGTCTACAGAAATGCGGACGCGTAAATTTTTTTAGTGGGTATGCGAATCGTGTGATACATTTTGCACAGAAATTATGCCTAACAAAGCCGTGACATATCGATAAATTATTATCGATTTAAATTTAAATGTTTTCAATTTTAAGCTCTAATTAATTTTAGATGGAATAGATAGTACTAGCTAAAGATTTGTTCCTAATTTTTTTCTTTTCCTTGAATTAATACGTTAAAGTTACGCTTTAATTCTGTATGTATAATTATCCATGCAAAATTCTTATTCTATACACATATAGGAAAATGCTCGAATAATCATAATTGCAAATTTAAAATATGTCATACCTTTCACTATCCTATCACTTTTTTCACGTCTAACTGTCGATTCCAATTAATTGATGTGTATAACGTATATTCAAAAGTGTATAATAATATATTACATATAATATTCTCAAATACTTCAAATAATAAAAAGTATAGTTATTTACATGGTATAACATATTTAATTATGTATGGTACATAAACTGCGCTTGTAATTATAAGTTTTGGATTTTTTCACCCAAATGTCAAATATATATATAAATACAGTTTATCTTTCTTAATTGCAGGAAATTAATTCCTGCAATTAATCAACAAATTCATCTTAACGTTTCTAACAGTAATTTTTCTGACATTCTGCAATGTAAGCAGTATTTTGTTAGCTTAAGATTCGTTCACGCTAACTAAGCTGACGATTTGGATTTTTTTCGGCACGTATCTCTACGTGACGGAAATCAATATCTATGCGGCGTTCCCGGTATACGTTCCAAGTATATGTTCTACCGTGTGAGATGATCCGATCGAGAAACCGAAAGTCACGTGCGTAGCCCCAATTAAAATTTTAAAGCCATTTCAGTCATCAACGGGCTATCTCTTCCCATAATGCATCATACGGAGTGAAGGGAAGATGCGCACCTCTCCGCCTCCCACACCTTCCCACAGTACGGTCGGTCATTCTAATACGCTAGTTAATGCATGGATATGCAGTACGAAGGATAAACTGTAACAAAGGGTTTGAGCAGTATATAAACTCCCCAGAGGATCATCTTCTCAGTTCGCTTCGTGTCTTCGGTTCTACAGCAATATGAATTGCCACCAGGTAGGCCACCAAAAAGTATCGTGCGATGGCGGGCCGCTTTAATTCTTTCCGCTACAAAATGCAATAATCCGTCCGAGTTTTATAATTACTGCTTTGTTAATTTTAATCGTTATTAACAATTAATTTTATTATAAACGATTATTTATTAAAATTTATTTTGTTCTATATTATATCAATTTTTATCGTTTATTAGTATTAAATTATTTTATAATTTTCTTTTTTTATAAGAAAGCTTAAGAAAATTATATACTGAAAACTTAAAAATATTTTTTTAAAATATTTCTTTTGCCATATTATTTTGACTAGAAAGGATTGAAAAGCTTCACCGTGACCAGTGGGTGTATATATGTATATATCTATATACATATATATCTTTATTGACTGAGTTTTACCCTCTAATTTATTCACCGATGAATTTTAAAATGCCTAAAAAATTTCGTTATTATGATAAACAATAGAAAATTAAAAGACAGTTCTCTTTCTCACATGTAAAAAAAAAAGTATAAATCAAAGGCTCTTTATAATTGATCATTTAGTCAATATGCAGTGTCTATAAGATGTTACAGCTGCCATTCTCTCTTATTCTTACGAACAAAATATCTTGATAAAGTATGAATGAGTAAGCAATCGTAATAGACAGCTTTTAAGTTTGCTTAATAGAAGAAAATGGAAGTAGTTATAACAGGAATATATAAGTTGCAACAGTAATCGCTAATCTGGAATCTTATAACGCTTGTGATGCGCGTATGCAACACGATTTGCAATTATCTACCATTGTGCCAGCGATGACTCTCAGCTTGGTGACAACGCACAGCCGTGAAAGGTGCGACATTTATGACAAATGTTGCAACTTATCCCGGTCACATACACAGTTCTTATCTTTTCTTGCGTACCGCAATAAACGTCGTGGCAAAAGCTGATTAAGAAATTTAATAATCGGGTGAACAAATATACTGAGAAATGAAACTTAAGACAAGAGAACGGCAGTTAAAAGTACTTCTCAAAAGTCTTTTAGCGTTATGCTAGTGTGCTATTTGAACGAGCTTAATATTCATATAATCGGTAATAATAATCGGTGATAAAATCTTTTTTTTATCATAAACGTAATAATGTAATCGAGACTAGATGCCACGTTGATAGAGCGATATGATTTTCCCTGGCTACGTGATGTCGAATAACTGCATATAACGGAGGGATGTTAGATTGTGCCCCACTTTCCCTCAGTAATACACGATTATCGCAGCGGACACCGCAATGCCCACAATCTCGGTCCCGCAATATCTCGACGTCTCGGTCATCTCGAGATGACCCACCGACGTGTACACTCTCCTTCGGAGTAAAAAATTCTAGTGAGTCAAGACCGGAAGTCAGTAATATAATCATCATTCTCTCGCAATTTCGTAATACTTAGCAAACAAGCTGTCATCACTTTTAATGATTTTATGATTAGGTATTATTAATTTTTTCATCGAAAAGGACTCCGATATCGCATTTATCTTAATTGATCTGCCTTTATTATCTACCATTATAGATGTGTTTTCGAGCAAAGTTGCGTAGTAAGTGTGCAAACATATATATTAATCTGATGTAATGACGTTTCTTTATGATTATAATTCTACTCACCGATCTTGTAGCAAAGCCGCAGAATCTCTCTGATTGCAGTTAGCCAAGCTGGTCTTGGTGCTGTCGTGCATCGGCAGTGATGTCCTGGCGGGTCTTCTACCAGGAGGTGGCACGGGTGCCGGGGGATATCAATACAACCGACCAGGAAGCGGTGGTGGATTTGGTGGAGGGTATGCAGGTGACGCCGGTTTCGGGGGTGGCGGTCGCGGTGGCGACTTTGGCGTCGGCAGCTATAGGGGAAGACCAAGCCAAGCTTATGGTCCACCCGGCGGTGACTCCTTTGGTAGACCAGGTGCAAGCGGATTCGGAGGACAACCGTCACATAGATATCCGCAATTCGGTGAGGGTGGCAGTGGTGGCTATCAAGACGGTGGTGCCGGAGGATTCCAAGGAGGATATGGATACGGCGGACGTGACGGCGGAAGGGTAAAATTATTTTCAATGTATTTGCACTTCCAATGCTCAGCCAAAAAAGTAATTCTGCAACTATTATACAATTCTTTAATACGATTAAATTATTTAATTTTATAAAATTGTTTTTTCTGCTAAATGCAGCCATTAATGCCTTATTTAAAAAAAAATATTGCCCACATATATCAAGTTTTACTTTATCGTTATACTATCAACGTTTTAGAATAATATACGGCTCAAAAATGTTTAGTGATGTACTTGAAAGTTTCGATAATTAATTATTTAATATTTTTTTATATAATAATAAAACAGATATTCTTACTTCTCATCGCCTTTCTGTTTGTATATATACATGATGATAATTTATATATTATTTTATAGCCGCAGCCATACAGCTTCCAATATGAAGTCGTCGATCCGCCGAGCGGCAACGATTACTCTCAACGCGAGAGCAGCGACGGTAATGTCGTTCAAGGAGAGTACAGAGTTTTGTTGCCAGACTCGAGGACGCAAATTGTTCGGTATATGGCTGACGACGCGAATGGATACAACGCGGAAGTTCAATACGAAGGACAGGCTCAATACTCTCGTGGTGGTTTGGGAGGATATGGAGGAGCCGGATATCAAGGTGGCGGTTATCAAGGAGGTCAGTATGATTCTTCGCACAAAACACAGTGATAGAAGGCATTGAAATGTACATTGAGATGTACATTGAAAAAAATTTTAATAAATATTTGTTTGAATATTTCTGAATAAATATTTACTAAATATAAACATATATTTATTTAATATAAAAACCATTAATTTGATTTTTTTTTTAACTATCACTTTTTCTATTAAGTAAATATTTATTTACTGTAAGTTTATGTTTACTTAATACTATTCAAAGAAATACATATTAAGATTTAATAATTTCTTTTCGATATATTTAAATATACACGTACACAAAAAATTAAATATGAAATTATATTAATAATCACGCATCTTTAGATTACGAAAAAGATTACGAAGATGATATCAAACATAAAACAGTTCAATATCCTGATAGCAAAATGTTAGCAATTTGGGGCCAAATTGGCAGCAAACTCCATCAGATTTTGACTATAAAACCATAGCCATCTGTGTCCACATTTGGCTATGGATTTGTCGACAAAGCCTGTTGACAGACTATGCCAGCAGATTAGTGGCAGAAAGCGAGCAGTCTGCTCGAATCAAGTTCTGCTCTCAATCTGCTCTCAATCTGCTGTCTTGTTATGCAAGACTTTGCTCGGTTTCTGATACCAATCTGCTGGCATAGCACGTCTAGCAGGCTTTGTTATATTTCTGACAGCAATTTGCTGACAATGTCAGATAATACAAATTCTGTGTACAATTTGGTGCCTTTCTGCAATCAAAAATTGGTAGCAGGTTCTGTTTAATTATTTAATTAATTGAAAATTGTTGATAATATAAAATTAATACTCAAATCGTTTGTTTCAAAAAGAGTTTTGTCTATCATAGATATCCCACATTTTTATCATAGATGCTTTATATATCCTGAACATAAACTATATAAAATAGTGTTGTCATATTAATCTTATAATTTCCTATTCAATGATGTAACTGTTATGTTATATTATATTTATATTGTTGAATGGCAAATTATAACATTGATTTAATGTTACTATTAATTTGTGTTCAGCAATATATTGTATATATAAGACTAGAAAAGATTACTTTTATAACTCTATATTCTATATCAACAGGCAGAGGTGGCGGTTTCGGTGGACCAGGAGGTGGTTTTGGAGGTGGTTTCGGTAGCGACAGTAATCAATATTTGCCACCGCATAATTATCACAAATAACCGTTCGACACGGGGCTATCTTACCAAAATATGACATACCGCGTGCATTTCCGGCGATAACCATTACGGACCTCCCTCGTTTACGGCTTTTATTTTGAATATACGATAATCCTTCGCTCACATAAGAGACACACATGACCCTTTTCCGATCACCTATGCGTTCACGAATCACTTTCACCTATATTTAACGATTACACAAGGACTAATTAGGATAATTTTATATGCATGCATGAGTGTATGTATTTATATATATAATATACATAATTTTGTACTTATATGATAATACTATTATCAAACATACGCTTGTATCTTCCGCTAAGCGATTATCAAACTCTTATGTTATGTACGTATTTATACGAGCTTGTAGTAAAACATAAATGAAGTATTCTTTCTATTTAACTTCATGTTACTTTATCCCAACTGATCCTTAATCTATGGATAGCTTATGGATTTTTAAATCTAAATAAAAATTTAGTTTCATTAATCGGACCCATATTAGGTTAGTGCAAAAAAAATGTCGGTTTTTCTATATTGCTATTAAGAGCAGTCATAAACTTCATTAAAAAATGGACGAAACTTGAATTTAAAAAAAAGAGTTTTAAAGAGCTTGAAATCTCTACTTTCGAAAGGTCATTGTATTTTTTGAGTTTATGTGAGTTTGATAATTTTTACGAAATTTTTATAGAAAACTACCAGTTGAAAAAATTGAAAAAATTTATTTTCATTTTATAGGTCTATTACGTGTCCCCCCAAAAATCGAAAAACATTTTTTACTATCTATCGTGAAAGATTGAAGTTTTCTCTCTCTACAAAATTATTTTTTAATAATGTTCTACGATTTTTTGTTCCTGAGTTACTCGCGGATTAAGTAAAAGTAGCATTCGGACTTTGCTCATATAACTTCGTTAAAAATCATATTGCAATAAAAAAATATAGATTCTTAAAGTTGAAACTTCGTTCTATTAAATGGTATAATCGTATAATTAGGTTGCAAAAAAAATGTCGGTTTTCGGTATTATAAAATGGTTTGGTTTTCCTTTTCCAATATATTCTATTATATTTTTAAAGTTAACGATTATACCATTTGATAAAGCGAAGTTTCAGCTTTAAGAATCTATATTTTTTTATTGAAATATAATGATTTTTAACGAAGTTATGAGCAATCAAAGTCCGAATGCTACTTTTACTTTAACTTTATTTTTTTAATCCGCGAGTAACTCAAAAACAAAAAATCGTAGAAACATTATTAAAAAACGATTTTGTAGAGAAAACTTCAATCTTTCACGCTAGATAGTAAAAAAATTTTCTCAATTTTTGGGGGGCACGTAACAGACCTATAAAGTGAAAAGAAATTTTTTCAATTTTTTTAGCTGGTAATTTTCTATACGTAAAAATTATCAAACTCACATAAACTTAAAAAATAAAATGACCTTTCGAAAATAAAGATTTCAAGCTTTAAAACTCTTTTTTTTTAATTCAAATTTCATTCATTTTTTAACGAAGTTTACGACTGCTCTTAATAGCAATACAGAAGAACCAACATTTTTTTTGCACCAACTTAATATGTACTAGTTTCAATGTAACATTTTTTTCACGGTGGCAATAAAGAGTTAAAAAGCAAAATAACTGAACAGTATTAAATTCAAATTCAATAAGAATCTCTAAAACTTGGACATACCAAATATATCAATGTTTTCTTTGTGCTTTAAATTCAGATTTAATTGCTTGTACGCACAAAAATTTCTCAGTTAGTGTTTGAAATATTAAATTGTAATAATTGCGAAAAATTAATTCCAATGACAAAAATTTTATAAGAAATTGTAGAAAATAATTTTAATGCGTAAAAAATTTTGGAAATATTAAAATATTGAAATGGAAAATTAAAATAGAAAAATCACAGTTATTCACAGCAATTAATCACATTAATTATTTAATACAGTATTATTTAATACAGCAATTATAATCATTATTTATTTCGTTTTACAGATACGTTTAGATATATATGTATAATATATAGAATATATAGAATATATAGAATATAATATATAGAACAATAAATTCCATTTATTTTTATTTATTGTAATTTATCTTTAATAATACTTTATAGGTAACAACAAGCATTAAATCTAATTTGAAATTTAATGTAAACATTTTATTTAATATTATATTAAATAAAAAAATGATTTTCTGTTTACTCTACAAAATATTTTTAAAAAATATATGTCAAGAGAATATTACGAAAATTTGTTTTTGTAAAACTGACTCAATTTCTTAACACTCTCTCTTATATTGTAACTTTCTCTCAACAAATATTATATTTTATTAACAAGGTAAAAAATTATTAATTACTAAATAATAGATAATTAGAAAAATGAAAAAAAAAATATTACGTATGCATTATTATAAAACATGATTTCATTTTAGAAATAAATCATATCAGAATGATGTTATGTTATATCGTCTTTTTTTTATTCTAAATGAATATGAACTCATTAAACAAAATATATGCTGGAAAAATTTTCTTATTATTTCTAAATAAATGTTTGGCATAAACATAAAAATTTTTATATAAGTTCCTCTGTTAAATAAAAATAAAATCGCTTTGATATTGTGACATTCATCTTAAACTAAATGATAATATATATGATTTATGTACGTTAAGGTTATCAAATATCGTTATTGAAGCTCATCAAATGACGTGTCAGATCTGTTGTGCGTCTACAATATGCGGAGTAAGTTGCAAGCCGTAAAAATTAACTATAATCAAATGTAAGGAAAATGATCGATTATGATTGGTCAATTTCTTACGGTTTATGGCTTATTCCGTAAATTGTAGATGCCACAATATACTTCCTTTAATCATCCAAAAATATGCTTATGTGTGTCCTTGTCCTATAGAAAAATTGGAATAAAATTCTCACAAAAAATACTTACATAATATAATAGATGAGATCATTTACTGTAATGTGTAATAAATTTATGGTAATAAAATACTACCTTTGCCTAAAGGCGCCTTTCTTGATTGGAAAGTACGAGATCTGTTCGACACGCCTCTTCCTCCTACACAGATGTTTATTTAATCATTCGCGAGTAATTATTGCAATGAAAAAATTATATTCGATTATAACATTATATAAAACTATATAGTTACGTTATATGTTAACTTACCAATAGGAGGAAAGTTCTCATCATCCGTTGGAATTAAATCTTCGACGGAAGTAATATACATACGTGCTAGAAATAATTATGTATATATAAAGTAATGTGAATATTTTACAGTATTTTATGTAATAGAATCATTTTGTTATTAAAAATAGACAAATTATATAAAATATTCATTTATCTTTAATTGAAGCAAAGAGTTTTCCAAACTTACGATCAACATTTGGAGGTCGCAATGGTTTTTCATTTAACTGAAATAATATGAAATTTTAATAAACAACATTTTTCAAATAATGTAAAGATTATATAAGAAAACATACGTATTCAGTCCTTTTTTTAATAGCAGATTTGCTAGCAGACTTGGTAATAGAAGATTCATTATTAGATGTACTAGTACCGTCTTGAAATTTACTACAATCAATCATTTGTACCGGTGTTGATTCACTTCGACGACGCATATCTTCTTGATATGTTCTACTGGAAACTTTCCGTCTGTGTTGCTCACTTACCTGTTATAAGGTAATTAATAAAAATCATTCACTATATGTATATATATATATGTGCGCGCGCGCGCGCGCGTGTGTGTGTATAGTATTATGTATATTTTATAAAATTATTTAAACAAGTATGTATAATGTGCTTGTCCATGCATAAATCTCTAGTAATATATTTTTAAGATATTATATGCACTTACGCCTGTCATAGATAAAACTCCATCAGTTCCAGATGTCGATTGAACATCTTTGACTTGCAAGTTGCTCATCATCGACATCAAACTTCGCTCCTCGAAATGATTAGATTTAAATCTATCAGGCTGATGTACTCCTGGTTGCATCTTGATATTAAGTGGTGCACAAAACTCATCGCACAGTGTCCATGCCCATTGTTGCAGTACAGATTTACTACAGTATTCAGGCCCTTCATCAACGTATTTATGAAACTAAATATTACAAAATGACATTATGAATAAAATATACTTTATATAATATCATAAAATAATAAAACTATTCTTACATGACATTCAAATCCTTTATCAAATCGGTACGTGTAATTTTCAAATATTTTGTGAGCATAAATAGGAATTGAATCCATAACTCGATCTTTTCTTGTTTTGAATAATTCATTTGCCAAATGTACGAACAACGATTCCAATTCATAAATTTTAAATTGTTCTTTATCTTGGTCTGGAATAGAGGCAAATTTATTTAAATAATATATTGGTATAAGGCACATTTAAAAAGTAAGTTTTTATTTGTTGTAAAAAGTATATATATGTATATTGTGATGTGACATTTCTGTTATAAAGGTACACTTACGTGCTGCATCACACAGTTTTGCTATCAAGGATTGTGCTTCTCGTGTGAAAGCTTTCCTTGTATAAAGATAAGGATATTGATCCACAAGTTTCCTAGATTCTAGAAAATTTGCTAGTTTGTCATACATAACAGCAAAGTCAGTCTCACCACCTTCATATTCAACAGGTATTTTATGACTGTTCTGACTTATCTCCAGTGCTTCCCGTCTATATCCTAATGGAATCTTAGCACTGACAATAATATGATGTACATCTTCTATACCATTTTTTAATGAAAAAACTCCAAATGTATATTCGGCAGGAAAATATTCAAGAGTATTGTTAACAATCATAGAGAAAAACCAGTTAACATGTACAAAACAAAACTTCAGTTCTGCCAAAACTGCAATAATAAGGAATATTATTGTGATGACATATTTAATTATATTACACACACACACACACACACACACACACACACACACACACACACACACATACACAGGGTGTTTCCAAAAATCCATTCAACATTTATATGGCAGGTAATACACACCATACTGAGTAAAAAAACATATAAAAAATGTTTATATCTCAGAAAGAATTGAATTTTTGACCTATGTTTACTAAGGATTTTTTTATTCAGTATAGTGTGTATTATCTATCATAAAAATGCTGAATGGTTTTTTAGAAACACTCTGTATATGTATATGTAAATTAATAAAGTATACTCTCATTATCATTTGTATCTGATTTAGAGATTTCCAATTCAAATAAAAGTATGTGAGCTTGCTAAATTGTATATATAGATTACGATACCATTTAATATACTTGTTATACTTTTTGACTTCTGCATCTTTAAAACAAAAGTCATCTTTAAAATTAATGTAAAAAGTGTCACAAATGTATAATAAATTATTTTCAAATTTCTACAAGAAATTGTATCATATACAATTATAACATACGTACAATTAAGATTTACAGCTGTGTCGATTATTACTTTTATGTTTTCCTGCATATTTTTCAGAAACATCAGTGCTTCCTGTTCTTTCTGTTGAAGCATAATTAGTGATTCTCCAAGTGACGTTTTCTTGTCTTTGGCTGATATTTGGGATGCAACTTTATCATTTTTGGCCATAGATTCAAAATTGCCTTTTTCTTGCTTAGTTAAACTCTATTAGTCAAAAAGAATAAATAATTTAGTACAAAATTAAAGAAAAGTATAAACCAATATGCATAATCGTAAACATATTTCTTAATGTATTTATTTTTTTATCGTAACATACATATAATCTTAAATATTAAGATATAATATTTAAATAAGTTTAAAACAAACAAAATTTTTTTTCATATTTTCTATGTTTTAATGATTCTACTTAATAATTATTAATTTTTTATTAGGGTCAAAATTAGCATATAGTTCCAGTCTATTTCTTTTTCCAATGTATATATTAGATAAGTATACTTTAATATAGGAAAGAACAATCTAGTTAAAACTAAATAAGTTAGTCCCTCCTCCTTGTCTAGTTTCCCACCAAATGTTTCGAGCTCTCAATTAAACTTTAGCAAATTAGCACCTACTTAATTCTGTAATATGTTAGAACTTGCTTCACGCTGAAAGCCAATTTAATAATGGTATCAAAAACTGCCGGAATTACATCGATGCTCCCTCTTGTAAACGTTTACCTGCCATTCCGCGTTACACTCCGGATCCTGTTGAACGTCTTTGAATCCATTAGGAAATGTGCGGCCATGTGCTTCCTCGCGTTTCTTCCAATGGGCCATGAAGAAAAAAAATGCATTTTTGCCTTTATTTTTCGGCATTTGTCCCGAGAATAAAGTCTCCTACTGTCGTGAACGCTCTGGATGTAAGCAAATCTGGACGACTTTGGTATGTTATTCCACCGGGTAGTGGATTTTTTGTGCCTTTAACCCCTCCTCGAAATTAGCAAATGGCAAATTGAGCAAGTCCAACTGAAAATAGGTTAGGATGGAAAATAATTTGACCCAAATATCGATTTATCACAATTGACTACTAACATCAACTGACATGACACAGATCCGACCGAATTCCGAATCTCCCACCTCCACAAGACCAATTTGGCCACTGCCAATAGGTCTGTTTTTTATCGTTGTACTAAAATATTATAGATGATGTGTTGGAATATTATAGAATATGCGCAAGAATGCCAGAGAAATATAGATATATACCTGGCTTGTTTTCAGGTGAATTATAACTGTCTTTCATTCCTGCATTAGACTGCACTAGAATTTCCTTTCTTGCTTTCGTCAAATATTATATGTATACTATCTACCTCACTTTTAAGTTCCAAAAGTGTACACTAGTTCAGCTACAAAAAAGAGATTCTTTGTTACAAAATTCATGCAGTTTATTTAAAATAAAATAATTATACAACCATGCCTCGAAAAGAAATATTAGTATTCGATGCTGGCTCAGCACTCAGTGTAACAAAAAATAAGTCTATTAATCTTTTGTAAGCTTGCTAATCCTAATTTGTCATTCTATTCTTGTTTTACGTCTGATAAACGATGAAGGCTACGGTCCACTTGACGCTACAAACGCTTCGAAGCATTCTTTGATTAGTCAATTTGTAAAATTCTTTGTTCTGATTGGTCGCTCAAACGCTTCGCAGCGTTTGTAGCGTCAAGTGGACCGCAGCCCATGATTGATGAAGATAGAGGCTGTGGTCCACTTAGCGCTTCAAACGCTACAGAGCATTTGTAGCACTAACATGACTGGTCCATTTGACGCTTCGGAATGCTCCCAGCTGCTCCCAGCAACCCTGATTACGTCATCAATACGTCATCGTTTTCGCTCCCACTTCGCTCCAACTACCTCACCTCGGGAGGTGGGTTGGCTGGAGCGTCACGTAGCAATTGTAGCATTCGGGACAGTAATGGACCAATCGGAGCGTAGCGTTTGGAGCGTAGCGTTCAGAGCATTTGAAAGAAGCAAGTGGACCGCAGCTAGAATGACACAATTAGCGCCAATAGATTCTCCTCGATGACTGTAAGGCCGGAATTAGACTACGCATTGAAGATTGAGGTTGAAGATTGAAATTTGACCAATAAGGACAAAGAAATTTTAGCTCTTTTCGTTTCGATTGGTCAAATTTGAATTTTTCAATCTTCAATCTCAATCTTTAATGTCTAGTCTGATTCCGGCCTTACTAAGGCTGTGGTCCGATTCATGCTGACAACGCTCATGAGCATTATTTGTCTTCGTTCAACATTTGACAAACAACAAGGATGAAATGATTTTTAAGCGTTGTGAGCTGTTGTGAGCGTGAATCGGATCGCGGCCTAATTGCGAGCACTTGAGCAATGATGGAGGTGGTACAGCCAATCTGATCGTGATATTACATGTATTGTGTTCGGAATGCGCGCGCTACACGAACAAGAGTTAATGCCCGTATTCATAGTTAGATTTTGTACTTAAGGCTTCCTTAAATTTATCTTTAGATGCTCAGTAGCCAATGAAATAATTCGTAGAGTATCTGAAAATAAATTCATGCACGTCGGCGAAATCCATTTTCTGTAAAAGGTACTTTTATTATTGAGCGATTGTAACTCACATATGATTCTTGGTGAATTTTAGCTTACGCCTTCGACACAAGAACAGTTTATTTATTCTACATATCTTTATTATTCTACACATTCTTTACATATTTTTATTCAGAAAAAAATTTGAATATTAAAAATTATTATGTATTAAATATGATATAAAAAAGCTTTCATAAAAAATTTCATAGCTTAGTAGCATATAATGAAAATTAATGAGAATAGACATGATTTTCATGAAAAGTTTATTATGTGGAAAATAGAAAGCTATAAAGAGTATAATATAAAAATAATTTTCTAATAATATTACACAATAAATATGTGCATTAAATGTATATTTCTAATTAATCCAAATTCTTTTTAATGGAGATTTAAGACTAATAAGCCTCGCTGGTACAACATCACCCTCATTCAACACCTGCTTGTCCGCAGTTCTTTCTGGCAGCATTAGAAGCGCATTAGCATCGTTACAGTTAAGTAACTTGCTACTGATTTGATTTCCCGTACTGTAAGCCATTGGAAGTGTTTCTTTATCGTTCCATCTCAAGATTGCTCTTGCGTATTCGGGACGCGGATCCAAATTGTACGACGACATTAACTATGATATAAGAACAACGTTTTTATGAATCATGCGCATTTACACTATTTTGCAAAATATCGAAACCTTACAAACCTTAGCTTGCATTATGATTGGTTCTGAATCATTAAAGTGTAGCTCATTCACAAGGGGTAAGAGGAATAAATGTGCGGTAACAAGAGCAGACACTGGATTTCCCGGCAGGCACAGGATAAATTTTTTTTTACCTAAGATTGTGCACGTTGCAAATGTCGTTGGCTTTCCTGGCTTCATATTTACGCGTCCTAAAAAAAAAAAAAACATATTTTGATACTATATAAGAAACATGTATTAATATAGAGATGATTAAAAAAAGAAGGTACCGAAATGTATAGTAGCCTTAAAAATGGTCTCTAAAATAGGCTTCAATAGATCTCTATCGCCCATTGATACAGACCCTGTTGTCACAAGTACATCTACTTTTCCTAAAGCTATGTTGATTTTGTTTATCATGTCCATCGTGCTATAAGACGGTTATATTAATAATGAGATTATGCTAATTCTTTATTTATAATTAACTATATTAATACATTAAAAAGGTATTGAAACATACATATGATCCATATTGACACCTTACTTTTATCTATAAACGCAAGTATTTAGCATATATATATATATATATATATACATACACAATTTATATTCATGTTATATATACTGTAGAATCTCAAAAATAAACAAACATATTTATATAAAAGTGAGATATAAATACGAATTATTGTGTACTAGAAATAATAAATGTTGACATACTTATCAGTTACAATTCCGAAATCCAAGGAATCGAAACCATTTTCTTTTAATAATGAGATTAGACTTATTCTGTTGCTATCATAGACCTGCCCTGGTTTTAAAGGCTCTCCAGGTTGTTGTAACTCATCTCCAGTTGACAATATACCTATACGTGGAAGTAAAGTAACTGCAACGTGTTTGTAGCCACAGGCCGCTAGTAGTCCTACTTCCACCGGCCCAATTCTTGTGAACGGATTTAACACTGAGCTTCCCTTTTTTATATCGCATCCAATAGGTCTTCAATAACATAAATAAATAAATAAATTTCTATGGTCAAGAATAAAATAAAACCTATTTTGACAAAACTTATAGGATGTAAAACCTTAAGCATGTACTAGCTAATATAGTCCCAGCAAAAACTTGCAATTAGAACTGTATTAATATTTATACTTTTCATATAAAACTAAATATCAAAATTATGTACATCTGAAATAGTTATTTAAACAACATTATTATTTATTTAACAATTCTTTTTATAGCTTACTTACTACATTTATTATTTTTTGTTATTGTTATATATTTTAATTTAAAAACTAATGATAAAAATTTCAATTTTATTACATAAGTACTTTAAATAATGAAGATTATTTATTGCAATTCACAAATTAGTCACTAGTTGTTCTGTAAATAAATAAAATTTACTCTATTATATTCTTTTTATTTACCAAACAACAAATCTGTAAATCACAATAAAACTTTACATAAACAATCTTGATTATTTAAAATGCTTATATAAAGAAATCAAAACTGTCATTTTTCAAAGAAGCATTATAACAATAAAAAAAAATGAATGCAGTAAATAAATTATAAAAATGTATTGTTAAATAAATGAATATGACATATGCACACAACTGTTTGATATACGTTTTGATTTATACGTATACAATTTTAGTATTTATTTTTATTTAGAAAGTATAAATATTAATGCATTTCCAATTTCAAACCTTTTACAAGGATTGTATAGATACATCTTTAAGCCTCGTACCTAATATCTTGTCCTTTTTTCGGTTCAATCATTATCTCAATTTCTTCTTCCTCTATCCCATCAGAACTCTTTGACACTAGCTTTGTATCCTCAACTTGTACAACAGCTGTTGCTTCTGCAATTAGAAAGAAAATGTAAATTCTTTATCGTAAGTAAATTGTAGCTACAACTATTTACCATCAGGAATGGGCGCTCCAGTATTCACCCGTACACAAGTGCCAGATTTAAGAGACACCAAAGTGGGCTGAAAAAATTTTTTTTAATTATTCTCTTGCATCGTGTTGAGCGTCTGCTATTGCAACTTACTGCAGTTCCTGCTTTCACACCACACAATACTGTTCTTTTGCCTTTTCCATCACTTGTTAACACCGCATATCCGTCCTTCATGGAAGCTCTGAATGGTGGCAAATCACAATTGGAACATATGCCCTCTTCTGATAATATCCTACCATAAGCCTCTTTCAGATTCACGATTTCCACCTTTATATCCTTTGTACTACTCTCAAAGCGTATTATGCGCAGTGCTTCCGCCACAGATATCATAGGAAATGAGGATTCTCTAAGGCGTGTTGTCACATTCTCGAAACTCATCTAGAATATATAATCTAATTGTATTATACCATTTTGTAAAATCATTATTTTTGATAAAAAAATCTCACTGGATTTTCTGTATAAGAAACATGATGCAAACAAGTCCCAATATTATGTTGCAAAATGTTATGTGTATCTTTAACTTTTGCTTTATTATCCAAAATTAAATCTACTGCATGCGGAATTACAGGTGCGATTGCAGTCAAGCACTCTATTGCAGCCTTGTGAGAACCGGGCAAATTAATAATCAGTGTCTTATAACGTATTCCGGATATAGCTCTGAAAACATATTAAAAGTTGTACTTTAAAGTTGTACTTGTAACTTTAAAGAGATTACAGAACAGAAAAAAGAAATGACTTTACCGAGAAAGTATCGCCATTGGAGTTATTTTTAGGCTCGACATTAACATATTTAAAGACAGTCCAGGAGTTTCTTTATGGATAACTCTTTTAGTTGCCTCAGGCGTAACATCTCTCTCGGAAAATCCAGTGCCGCCAGTGGTCAGAATAACATCAGCTATATTTTGATCACTCCATTGGATTAAATATTTCATTATTGATACTTCAACATCCTGCACAATAGCAGTGCTAGAAATCTCTCCTTGAAATGTATTTTCTGCATTGTTGATAAATTCTCTTAATCCAGGTCCACTTTCATCTATTTTCTCACCACTAGCACAAGTATCACTCACTAAAACATTATAAAAGATCATTAAAATTACTTCATTATTAAAAATACTTCTTATAGGAAGGCTTATTGTATTATGTTCTATAATCTATTGTACAAGATTATTAATTAAAGATATGAAAACATAATCATATTTAATCATATTTAATTTTCAAACGTATACACGACTAAAATATTTTGTAATCTTTCAAATTTTTATAATTATAAGCTACAAATATTTTATATATTCCACGTAAATATCAGAAATATATTATAGCACATTACCGGTTAAAATTGCAAATCTTATTGGTGCCATTTTAGTTTCCTTTAATAGTCTTTTGACTAAATAATTTATAAGTAAACAATTCAGTGATTAGATTATGCAAAATATGTACATATACGCTCTATTTAATCAAACACCAGCAGATGCAAAACTACTAATCGTCGACTAACAGGATTGATGTAAATGATGGCTTCTGCACACTGGACCGACTGGACGCGGAAACGCTTACCGCGTGGCAAAATACGATGCGGTAACCAATAAGCTTACAGCTTCCAACATGTTCGTTGGTTACCGCGTTGCATTTTGCCACGCGGCAACGTTTCCGCATCCAGCGTGCAGGAGCCATGACGTTGCAATATTTTATTCTGCTCCTTGTAGCTGCACTATATTACTTTCTGCACTTAAAATGAAATAGATGATATGATTAGACATTGGAGAGAAAAAAAGGAAAGATCAACAATACGAGAGTCGAGACGTTCAGCTACAAGCAAGATATCTCTCTCTCAGTAGTCCCAGTACAGTACCAGTCAAAAGTTTGCGGATTTTTACACGGATCACTCGTCATCCGTAAGTATACTGGATAATATCTGGAAGGCGCACATACTTGGTAGATAAAGAATTGCAAAGACAATAGAAGCAGTTATTTTTATTGTACGGCTAATAAATTATGTTGCTAAATGTTTTATTGAGCTTATAATTTAAAATTAATTAGAAGATTTTTTTGCAGGGTTGTTATGTTTTAAACAAAATGTTTAAAACGGCTTGTTTAAAACATGTTTAAAACACTGGGCATTGTTTAAAACACTTTTATTTTAAACAATTTTAAACTATTGTTTAAAACTGTTTAAAAACACCATAATTAAAATATGTGATTTGGAAAAGAAACTGTAAAAAATAACCAAAAATTGTATATTGCAAAAAACTTTTTTATTTATGTACATGTACTATGTTATTATTTATGTACATATATTATAAACATATACACTGAAAAAAGAGTTTGGTGATAGCTACCAAATTGGTGAAATAATGCTAATTAAATGTTTGGTTAATATAACCAAAAGAAACTACTTTAATTGAACACGAATATTGACAATTGAGACTGAAACTGCACTGAAAGAAGAGTTTGGTAAATATTTAGTAAATATTTCCAAACGATATTATCAACGGTAATACTAAATATACTTACTAAAAATATGTACTAAATATACTTAAAAAAAACTAAAAAAATACTTACTAAATATACGTAAAAGTAAACTTATGTTTGGTTATATTAACCAAACATTTAATTAACATTATTTCAGCAAACATTTGGTAGCTATCGCCAAACTTTTCTTTCAGTGCAGTTTCAGTCTCAATTCAAAAATAATAATAAATAAAAATAACTAATTGTTTCAGTTATTTATTATTCTTAATGATGAAAGATTTAAATATTCACACAATATTTTTTACTTGTTTAAGCAACAAAAAACATTTTAAACAAAAAAAAACATGTTTTTTTCTTGTTTAAAACATGTTTTCTTTTGTTGCTTAAAAAACACAAAATAAATCAGAAAACATTGTTCCAAATAAAAAGTTTTTTGTTTAAAATAAAAAAAACATGTTTTTTTAACAACCCTGCTTTTTTGGCATTCAAACATGTTCTAAGTTCTGACAATATTAGATTCTTTCATTTTATTTTCATTTTCTAGATTTAAGTTTCTTATTTTTTTTTCTCTAACGTTCAAATAAACATTTATCTTGTTCAATCACCGACCTCTAAGCGCAACATATATTCTTGCTTTCATATATTTATTTTACGACGGATTTAATAAAATGACTTGGTTATATTATACATAAAGGTGTAAGATTATATCGTATTCCTTGATCTTTTATCTTTAATAATATAAGATAATGCATATGATAAGAGGTACAGAAGATAGTCATTTTGCCCTGCTGTGAAATAAACATCTTTATTATTGAAGAATTATATTTAACAATAAGAGAGATACATAGTAAAAAGAGTGCACTCAATTACTAGAATATAAGAATTATTCTTATCCTTGCATATGAAATAAAAGTTGTAGACATGATTTTTGCGAAACATTATGAGCTATTTTCACCGCAATTTTTCTAATTCTTACATAAGCATTAAGAATTAATCGGCGCAAGCAAAACGATAATTATATGAATACCTCCATTTATTTTATAATATTGTAAAGATTAAATCACGCTATATATAATTCAAGACGCATTTTAAAACAATCTTGGCAGGTCTGTACTTTTCCCTCGTCATGCGATTCTTTTGGACATTAACAGTGATTTAAGGAAGGAATGCAATTGAACGGGAAATATTCAAAATATCGGTTTCAAATTATTTGGATGGAAGAGTAAGCGTGTGTCCTGAAGTCAATAGTCGACTAGGCCTCTGTAATAACGTAAAATGGCATAGGTTTTTTTTTAGCAGCATATAAAATGTACATTGTTATATTTAGTTGCACCGAATCAGCATTGATCTCCGCTTAATCAGCTTCTCTGTGTTAATAATTAGTACTAATAGAGACAATCGCTAATGTCCAGTAAATATGAATTATCGGTGCAACTCGGTAATCGCAATTGTAGGCGTCAGATTCGGAGGATTTTACCGATTGCTCCTCGGACTCAATGAACGAAGTGGTGAATCTCTGTATCTCCTACGCGACTCTGTTCTACTCCGATCGCGATCATCGCGTCGATCTCTCTCCCTGTCCCTGTCTCTCTCCCTATCCCGCTCGCGATCACCATCCGTGTCTCGCCTATCGCGACGTACGGTATGATGCCTTGGACTACGGCTCGGACTTGGTGTACGAGACACAGAAGACCGCGTGTCAGAACTATGACCTTCGTAACGATGTCTTCGTTCCCTCTGTCTAAAAAGTGAAACAGCATTCACGTCACTATTTAAGTTGAACTTAAAAAGTTATGCTGTGTGTCACAATTCATAAAAATTATTTACTTTCTACGGAGTTTCAAAGACATTTCTCGAATCTCGTCTTCTCGATCTTGTCTCTGCTGCTCCATCTTCTCGATTCTCAACTGCTCAGCCTTCTTGTCAGCTTTATCTAAAAGAATTCATTTTATATTTGCCTTTTATGACACATAATACCCCTTATTCTTTCAAACATTAACTTACACTGCCTGTTTAATAGGGCTTGCATTTTCTTCTTAAGCCGCTCCTGAGGTGTAATTTTCAACGACTGAAAAATAAACGAACTCTTAAAGGTTTATAGAGAAAGAGCTAGAGAAGAATCGGTATTTGTAGCATAATTTAAAAGTCTAACGTACATACAATAATATGCATTAATATATTATTACCAATTACAGGATATAACTGAATATATATATATATATATATATATAGATGACAAAGAATTTATTTCCTTTATTGAATGATTAATAAAACGTAATTATGAACAATGAAAAAAGGTAATAACAAGCCAATCAATTGGACATGGATTGGTCCCAGCAAGTTATTTTAAAATAAAATAATAATATAACAATTCACGTGAAAATTTTCACATTTTTTTGTGGCTCTAACAGTATATTAAAATTCTGTTTTAGAATGAATTAAAAATAAAATAAATAAATGCAGAATACGACATTGATATATCAGTAATGTGATATAATAAAAACAAAACGCGCTTGTTGAAGTTCTTCATTCAGATGAAAGACATTTAGACATTATACTTATATAGATAAGATACTTATATAAGTATGTTCTGTCTTTATTCTCTGTGCGTTAAGTGACTAAGAAAGCGTTATGGTTCTTACTGACTTTGTGTCCGCCACCAGAATTTGTACTTAACCCTGCTTTTGGCTTGTTCCTGGAATATTCGGAGAAAATTAAATCCATATCATAATAATTTAAGATGCGTGACAAATTAGAATTGCTGCTCATAAAATGCTTACACGCTTGTATTTATCGGTGTCTTCGATGCTGCTGGACCGGACTTTTCTTCGTTATCGGATAATTCTAGTTCAAGACTTGACGATTTTCCACGTCGGCCATAATACCTGTACGTAAAATATATAAGTTATTCAATACGTTACAGTAATTTAATTCTTGGAAAAATCTGTGATATCTTCACCTAGGCAGTGCTGGCGTTTTATTATCATCACTTCGCGATCGTTTACAACTAGATTGACTTCTCGATCTCGATCTGGATCTTGATGGAGACTTTGATCTCGAGCGAGACTTGGATCTTGACTTCGACAACGAATAGCGTCTTTTTCGATAGCTGTCTCTAGAATGGCTCCTGTGACGCGATTTAGACCTCGATCTTGATTTTGATATGCTGCTAGAAGATGAACTCCTTGATCTCTTCAAATGCGAGCGTGATCTAGACCTCGAACGAGAAACTGAACGAGATCGAGATCGGCTGATACTTCTACAATGCGACCGTGATTTACTTCGCGTTCGTGATCGTCTGGAGCGACTTCTTGTACGGGATCTCGTATACTTCCGAGGTCTCGAGCGTGTTCGTCTAGATCTAAGATAAAATAGATTAAATACTATACAGAAGCAATGCATTTCACGGGTTATCTCCATGTCCAAATCCATTTTACATTAGCATATTAATAATGGATTTAAACATGGAGATAACCCGCGAAACGCATAGCTTCTGTACAGAAAATTCCTGTGGAAGCTTCAAAAGTAGATAAAATACTATATTACAGAGTAAAATATTAATTCATTAAGAATTATTCATTGCTTTTTCTTGTTTTTTTTTTGCAACTTACCTCATCCTAGATCCACTTCGCTTCCTATCACGTGTCCTATACGACTTAGTCCTACTAACGGAACGTGAACAGCTTCTCGATCTGGACTTTGAATTTTTTTTACTAACAGTTTTATCATTGAAAGTAGGACTATCCGATCTCCGCCGTCTGAGATACGAATAATTGACTTTTCTTGAATTCGACGAAGACACATGTGATGTGCTACCATGAGTTTCTTCTTCCCCGCCAAAGCTTGTGATGTAAGTAATCTGTCCCGTATTTACAGGTGATGTGGACCGCGATCGCGACTTGGAAGAGGATTTTCTGTAAGGATTATACTCCGGGCTTTCCCTAGCTGCATAACTAAGATAAAAGAATTTGTATAAGCGATAATGTAGAAAAATACTTTGTGAAAGTGTAATGAATTATTACCTAGGCGGACTCATAACACGGCCTATCATCTTCTTTTCTCTGAATGCACGTCTTTCTCTACGCGACCGTCGACCCTATTATATAAAACAAACATTAAAACATATTTTATATTAAATATTTATATTAATGTGATATATTTTCTGACATTAGATTATAACATATAACAATATATACTGTATATAAAATTACATATTATAAAAATATATTAGTTATTTCAATTACATTGCAAATACTTACCGAGTACATAGCTTTCTCTTCCTCTTGCTTACGGGCTTGTCGCAAGGTTTCAGCTTCTTCAAAATCTTGGGTTAAAAAGCTAAAGTAATCAGCACCTAAAAGTCCATATTTTTGAGCTACTAAATTCATCTCGTGTGCCTGAGATGGTTCTATTTGAGATACATCCACGCATATGTCTGAAAAAAGTAATATTTCCTCCATTAAAAAATCTATTTGTTCTTGTAGTATTCCAGAGCACATTAATGCATTATTGATCGAAAATGAATCAGCTCGTTTTTTATTGTCCAAACATTACAGAGTATGGTCAATCAAATGTGTAATGTTTGAAACATTCTTTGATTGGTCAATCAAATATTTTAAAGCATTTACAGTGAGATTTCGACCTCACTCATAGACTAAGGATGAGTTTATTATATATATAATAAACACTATATATATAATTTCTAATTATATATACATGATTATATATATTTTTTTCATGTGCAGGAATTTAATAGATCACTGACGTTAGTTTCTATGCAAATGTCTAATTAGAATGTGTTAAATAGTACATTAAGTAAATAATACCTAAATCTATATCGCTGTCTTCATCATCTCCCTTCTCCTCTGATATAACTGGGTCTACTGTTTTTACCGGTTCGGGTATTGGCTCTTCTGTTTCATAATTATATCCGATGGCAGCGTTATTAGCAGATTTCTTCTTATCTTTTGCAGCATCCAACTTTGTCGATGAACCAAACTGTTCTTCTAAATGTATTTGATGAAGAAACTTTTCTTCGGTTACTGAAAAAAAATCATTCAAATAAAAATATAACAGACTGGCAAGATTTTTTTGTACAATGGAGAAAAGAGAAACAATGTACCGCTTAAAAACTCATTTTGCACAATTATACGGTAGCGCTCATAATTGATATGTCTGTCTTCACTTGTCAGAGCAATATCAACGTCGATAGTGTCTACCGGTTCCGGTATCCAATCCAAATGTGCCCGAACATCAAACCGATCTATAAGATTGTCATCATTGCCTTGCCATGGCATCCTAATAATAAAATATATTATTTTCTACTAATGAACGAACTACTAATGAATGAATAATTAGCAGCTGTGTCTACTATGTTGCAGAACCCACATGTTTGCAGGACTGTCACCTGCAGCAGCTATTGCCGGATCCAAGTGTATCTTACATGGTCTACCATGTAGCTGCAGAAACTGAGTAGGATCTGATTTCTAAATGGAACACAAAAACACTTATGTATCAAAGAAATATTTCTGCTCACAATGATATTTAGAACAAAGAGGCACGAAAAGCACAATAATGAAGGTTAACCAAGAAAAAGAGGATGATACGTATCTTCCGTAAAAATAATGCGTGGTGCATTGATCCGTTTCAAAATACACGAAGGAAGAAATCCATTGCATACGTTTTTGTGCAGTACTTACGATTTTCTCGTAATAGTCTCTTCTACGTTCCGCTCTGCGACGGTAATCGACCAGCATACCGCGGATCTTCTTTTCCTGCTTGCGTGCCTCGTGCCACATTCTACCGCCGGTCTTCTTCACAGAGAAACTCATTTTCTTTTCCTCAACGCTGTAAATCAATTTTGTGCGGCTAATTCGACACAGGTGCCATTTGTCCAGTTGTAAACGCTAAAAAATTGAAGCACTAATAATTGACACGCTTTCCTCTCCCGCGAGACGGACATGTTGTCTAATGTTGCCTTGCTAAGAACCGAAATAGCGACTTCTCACGGGACTGACGGAAATCGCTTGTCTATAATCAAATCGTTCTCGTGGTGATTACTGAATCGATAATAAACTATCCAATCTTGTTATTTTATTTTTCACTATATATTATTTAATATTACATTTAATTATTGAAAATATATGAATATTTAATTAAATATTTATCAATAATAACGTATATATTCAATTTTATAAAATTCAAATTACTATATGTATATTATATCATTATAAATGATTGAATTTTCTAAAACTGATTAATTATTAATAAATATTTAATTAAATAATTTTCGATTATTTGAGATATATATATTTTATAATTTTTGTTTTAATAAATTATTTAATATTAAATTATAACAGATAATATTCAGAATATTTATTAAAATAATAATTATTTTATAAAATTCAATTTATATGTAATGATATATACATATGTACATGTTACATTATAATATATATCATCAATTATTGTATATACAATCATACAGTGTAATCGCGCAATAACACAACAATTGACGGTAGCTCTTTAATATTTGATCATATAACACTAAATTTTATAAACTTGATTGATAAACTATAATCAATATCAGCTAATTGAATATATAGTTTAATTTTTATCTCGGTTCAACTAACTCTTCATCTTTTTCTATGTTTAAGAAGTAGAAGAAAATGAAGGTGTCTTTCCTTAACACGAGAAACTCGGAAACTAGTAGTATGATTTTCTAACGTCTTATCGACGATTATTGCTATCTTTAACTAGTGACAGTAAATAGCAAGGATAATCTTAGAAAAAAATGTGACCCTCATTAGCTATCGGTGCTATCGCTACAATTATAGCTACTTCGTCGATAAGACGTTAGAAAATCTCAGACATCAGGCCATGATTCGAATTCCGACAGTGACCAGAGCGATGTGATGTTTTTCTCAAAAGCATTTTGTATTCTTCGGAATACCATTAATTAAAGACAGCTCTCCTACGTATAGAAAAATTCCCTTATTAATATTATTTAACATCATCTTTTCAAGTTTATCAGGAGGCATATAAAAGACGTTTATCGATATAAATTACTCGCCAAAAATGCGGTAATAATTGATTTAATAATGTGGTCTACATCGGCAGTTTTTTTTTCCATTTCAATAATCTGTTCGTCAAACAAGGAGAAGAATTAATGCATCCAGAAACTTTAAAGCTGCATAAATATATAAATTTTTTTTGTTCTCGCGCAAGGATGAATCGGCGCGAAAGGTGAATAGCGGAAGAAAAGGTAACAGCAGAAGGTGAAGATGCTTTTGTTTATTATTAACCTTATGTAATATCGTTTCAAATTTTCAATTACATTATTATATATAATAATAATTATAATAATCATCATAATAATGTTATGACAATGTATACACGTTAGATACAAGTTCATTTTCCTTCATCCGGTATAGAGTTTTGTTAATTATTTTTTCTCATCTTAATAAATTGGTTTTTTGTTTCTTAATTCACATTTTCCACTTTCTCTCTCTCTCTCTCTCTTTCTCTCATACATACACGCATACATTCGCATGAACATGCGTTCTTCTTTCTCTCTTTTCTTCTCGCACTTCGTCCCATTCATCCCTTACATTTTTTGTCCCGATAGGTGTATACCGAACGAGACGTCAAGATATTATCAGATATTATCACCCTTTCATGCTCGATTTTCAAAGGAGAATGCTTACGCGGTGCCTTTCAGACGCATCTCTTTCTTTCTCTCTCTCTCTCTCTCTCACTCTCTCGCTCTTTCTCTCTCTTTTTCTGTCAGTCGTATTATAGTTATATTTGTTTCTGAACACAATGCTTTTACTCATGACGTTAGGAAACTTAGGTTACTTTACTTCCGCCGCAGTAACATGTTCCAAAGATCTCGTAATTGTTTTCCGCGGGCGCGCCTCACGGGACTTTTTCAAAGGCCGCACGTGCGTCCCGCGCTAGATTTGCAAGCTAAAAATCATGGAAAGAAGTTCGAGCGAAGAACATGGAAGAAAGATTTCTCACGGCTACAGGGAGCACCGATCGATAATCTAATGAGTTACACGCGATCGAAAATTAAAAGGAATGTTAATCCTCCATTGCCCAAATTATTCGTTGACGTTTCAAAATCTTCAATGTAAATATGGATCAGTATTTCAATTATAGATTTTTTTACTTTTGAAAACAGGAGAATAGATGACTTTCTATTACAAAACTTTAAAATTAAAATAATCGGACTACTCTAAAAGCGTGAAATGTGAAAACTGAATGGTGACAAAACAAGCCGACGAGTGATTTTAAAATTACATCATTATATATAATAATAATAATAATTATAATCATAATAATGCTATGATAATGTATACATGTTAGATATAAGTTCATTTTCCTTCCTTCGGTAGAGCTTTATTAATTTTTTTTTATCTTAATATATAATAATCAGCTGGGCAACAGATGATCAAGAAAATTCGTTGAAAAATCGCTTCCGCGCTACGAACGTTTAAAAACATGCAAAGACGTCGCACACATATACATATCGATTAAGATAAATAACGATTAAAAATACAATGAGGTTCGTTATCTTCTCTCTCTAATGATCGTTCTGCAAATCAAACACTCTATAACGTTTTATGTAAAAAAAATACACATACACATATATGTGTGTGTGTATATATGCATATGTGCGTGCATGTGCATACGTAGTAATCGTTTGGAACATGAATTGCGGTTGGCTCTTATACTATTAAATGTATACATCTCTGTTGTTTGCTAATTGGCTTAAATACTTTGCATTTTGCAACAGCTGAATGGAGTGGACAAATTCATCCCGAGACGGTGGCTCTCGAACTCGAAATAAAGCGCGCATGTCGGAAAGCGAAAGGAATCCTAAGGGGAGTTCTCTCATCCTGTTCGCCGGGCTTCCTTTTTCCCAATGGGAGAGACTGTTGTACATGCATTTTTGAAACGTACTCCTCACCGCGTCCTCTTTCTCTCTCACTCTCTCTCTCTCTCTCTTTCTCTCGCGCGCAAACGAAAAAAATTTCTATCTCGCACAGCTCGTTTACCTCGCCTCGCATGTTCAATTAGCGTCTTACACGTTCACCATTTAAAATTGCTTTCTCCCGATTCGAGAATCGTACCCTACCGCGGCTACCCGTGAAAAAATTGTCCCTAAACTTGTCCTGGACGCCGGCGGTGTCCTTTAACTTCGCTGAAAAACTCACGGTCTGCCAAGGAGAAGAGCGACTGGTATAACTTTTACGCGAATCTCATTAGTGACTTTTTTGCGTTGCGTCAAGTGGAAGAAATTCCGATCGCGTTACGGAACAAGACTCGGCCGGCCTTCGGTATTTTCTCGTGCAGCACATCTTCGAAGATCAGTTTTTAAGAAGTCTATGCGGTCGATCCAGAAAGAGGAAAACGACTTCGAACATCTTGATTGATCTTCTCTTTCAACTGACGCCAGTCTAGCAAGGAGACGTTATTTGTCGTCATTTTGACGTAAAAATAAAGTTTTTAATGTCAAAACAACGACAAATAACGCCAGCTTGATACCTGGAAATAAACAGTTTTCGTAGTGTTAGTATAAGGATCACCAAACAACTACGTTGCTGCGTTAGGTCCATCTACAGGTCTTTATCTGGATTGCATAGGTCTTGGTAGAAAGTATATGTCGAGAATGCCATGCGGTTGTCGACAGCGATGGCCGTTAATTGGTACAATTGCGATTTAACTCCGGCGTTACATGTGTATTTTTATCGTCGCAGTTTGCAGCGGATAGTTTAAAAGTTACCGCGCCGGTCACGCGTTCTTTCTTGGCAGGCCATGCGTCATTAACCGGTCAATCACATTGCTACAGATAAACGATAATAATAATAATCATCCAGTTAAAATCAACAATATCGTCGAAAGGAGAACGATGCGCTTCGATGCATTATCAAACACGGCGCTGTGCCCAGAAGTCCATCGTGGGTCGGATTGCACACCTCTCTCCGACGGAGAAAGACCGGTATCGAGTATCTTCATACGAGCCATCCCGATGTAAGATATTGTTTCACCCGTAGTCATCCTGTTGACGTGTGATCGTCGTCACGCTGAAGCACAATCGGCGAAATGATTCGAGTTCTCGGACGAATAAAAAATAAGTCCGAATGTACAATGATTTCCGAATGGCGTATCTTTCTGAGAATATGGTGAACACCGTTATTTGCGGGACTAGTGAGCACAGCGTGTAACAAGATGAATTCGGAAGAGGGCACGCGACGTATATATACATATATGTTATATATAATATATATGTATAATATATAATATATACATGTAATATTATATATATATTATATATTACATACATATATTTTTTTTATATATAATATATGTATATACATCGCATATTGTCTATATTTATAGAGCGTACTGATTTTTGCCGTTCAACAAGGTATTATTTGCGAGGACGCCCAGAATTTATCATAGAAAATCCTGAACGTTCCGCCGTTTAATTTCTCTACACCTAACAAATCATATTCTGTACAACTTCAACTGCAGAAATTATCAAAAAGGTCATTGAGGTAAGGTGCGACATATCCCGTTTCTTCTTTCTTTCTTTTAGACGATTTTTCAGAGAGCTGCTCTCTTCTCTCTTTAGGTATTTTATTTATGTCATAGTGAATCTATCTATTTTAAGCATTGCTTTCGAGCTATCTAATCACAACACAGACTCATTACGACTCTTGAAATTTAATGTATCTTAAGCACCGATTGCCGTAAATCTCAATGCGATATAAAAACATTTATGATACAAGTGTCAGTGGGTTTCGTATTCCTATTTATCCGTTGGTGATTTATATATTATTAGATACTGTTAGAAAATTTGTTTTCGTTCGGTAACTTATTATAAATTCGAGTATAACAAACTTCAACATCTGAGTTGCAATATAGAATGTCTCGTGTATATCTCATTAAATCGTATCTGCAAATGTTCTTGTATTGCAGGTGTATAAAAATATACAAATCATTCGAAAGGCCGCACGAATAAAATGATTCTTAG